ATGACAGGCACAAATGTCACTGTCAAGGATCCTCCCTATTGGCCAGTCTATATTTAATCATAATAATAGCTCCCGTTTAACGCCTTGGGAGCAGCAAAAACCAAACCAAACAATATTAATCTGTGGTAGCAAGGTAGAGCTTGCCATACTAGAGCCGTTCGGTATACAAGGAAGGTAATGTGGCTAGCACTACGCTCCAACCGCCTATTATTACCTCAGGATTGTGAATCCCAAGTACTCATTTCAGGCTGAGTCGACCTAGGTACCCAAACTATTTTTATTTTAATAAGAATAGTCGGCTGATGAAATGCCGGGTGTGGGATTTGAACCCACTACCTTGAGATTGGTAGACCTAGAGCCTGTACCTCTACGCCACCGGGCACCTTCAGTCTATATTTAAAAAAATATATATAAAAAATAAACAGTCTATATTTAAATGTCTCTATTAATTATTATACTCACGTAAAGACTAAAAGAAACTACAAAAAAAGTATAATTCATAATAAAAATATTAATGAAAGTATATGTAATGTACCTTCGATTGACGTATGTGACTGCATTAAATGATGCGATTTAAATCACGCCAATTGTCATTCTTTTAATAAACTTCAACAGAATTTTTTTAACGTCACAATTTACCGTATCTAAATACAGTGAGCGGATATGCGTGAGTAGGATATGGCAGCAAATAAATAGATGTTTAAACCTTGTATTTAAATTAATTTGTAATTTAAATTATTTTATTTAATTACTTACAATTTAGCATGTGTTTAAGACTTGGTATTTCTACAAAATATAAACATTTCTATAAAATGGACATTGTCGATTTTTCCCTTACCCTTAATTTCTGTAAAACTCTACCAGATTTGGGTACTGAAAGTTATGAAATAATAGAGCCACCGACAATTTTTTGCCATACTAAGAACTAATATTTTTTAAACAAATTGGAATACATAATTGTAAAACTACTAGTTTTAGGTATATTACGCAGAATCTAAAAATAAAGTGAAAAATAGGTTGTTATATTTAAAAAAATCAGTTATAAGTTATAACCACAAATACCAGATTTTTTAAAACACCCTGTATAATCAAAAATGATTTGACAGGCACTGTACGGGATATTAAAAATCACAATAAAAATCACTCATGGGTAAAAGTCGGTATATGTTGTCTCTGATATTGTTTTATTGGTTAGAACAACATACAGGGTCCGGCAAAAGTGCGTCGGGCATCTGTAGCTCCTAGAATAAACAAATTGAGAATTTTGTTTAAGTGCAAACCTAAAGTATGTAGTACCAGGATGTATTTCCGGAAAATATTTTAACTTCTATAGGGTGGCTCAAAAAAGTGTGAGTGGATCTGGATGATTTTTTTTAAATGGAACACCCTGTATATTATTGCATTTTTGGCTTCCTTTCAGATCACTTTACATAATCCTAAGATATGAGTAAATCTATTTCGATAGTTTCAGAGATATTAAAAAATAAATAAAAAATATATATTTTTCAACTCTTTTTAAAAAAAAATTAAAAATACAAGAACTGTTCTGAAATCAAAACTATATTATATATTTACTTTAGATGGTCTGTTCTTACTTTGCTATAAATATGGTAATCGTAGATCGTACAGGATGTTCAATATTTTATGCCAAACTTTCAAAAATATAAAATAATTTTTCTTCGTTTTTTTTTAAATGGAACACCCTCTATATTATTTTTTTATTAGATGGAGAATTAAAAAATGGACATTTTTTTTGTATTTAAACTATTTCAAAATTTTTAATAGTCTTCCGGATACATATGACGCTTCTAATGGCAAAATACCAGAGAAAAATCATTAGATGGCTTTGATGAAAATTTACTGTGGAAAATGCCAATGCCAAAATTTTGAAATACTGTACTAAATACAAAAAATGTTTATTTTTTAATTCTCCATCTACTGAAAAAATAATATACAGGGTGTTCCATTTAAAAAAACGAAGAAAAATTATTTTATATTTTAGAAAGTTTAGCGTAGAATTTTGAACTTCCTGTATGATTTACGATTTCCATATTTATAGCAAAGTAAGAACAAATCATCTAAAGTAAATATCTAATATAGTTTTGATTTCAGAACAGTTCTTGTATTATTAATATTTTTTTAAGAAAGGCTGAAGAATATATAATTTTTATTTATTTATTAATATCTCTGAAATTATCTAAATATATTTACTCATGTCTTAGGATTATGTAAAGTGATCTGTCAGGAAGCCAAAAATGCAATAATATCCAGGGTGTTCCATTAAAAAAAAATCATCCCGATCCATTCACACTTTTGTGAGACACCCTATAGAAGTTAAAATATTTTCCTGAAATACATGCCAGTACATAATTTAGATTTGCACTTACACAAAATTCTCAAGTTTTTTATTCTAGGAGCTACATATGCCCGACGCATTATTGCCGGACCCTGTACAAAACAAATGATTTGAATAACATTTACATTATGCCGATTTTATAGCTTCCGGACACGAAAGATATTCTTACAAAAATCATATCGATAATATAATATTGATTTATTTCTATAAAATAGGTACTGAATAGAATAACATATTACTGTTTGAATGACAGCTACATATGTAAATTGTATTGCTCCCAGCCATGCACGAAGTACAATCTGGACTCTTTTCAGAATCCGAGTCGATCTGTTTGAATTTCGAACTCGGTCAGATCGGGAATTATAAATAAAAATGAACACAAAGCGGCTGTTGTACATATCCACACACATGCGGGCCTCTATCTGGCATGCCTCAATGACTATAAAACTTAAATATAGAGTGGGTGGCCCGAAATGTGTAAGGTCATCCGTATTAAAAAATCGGATGCGTAAAGCTGAGAGCGTATAGTAGAGATGTCGAGTTTTATCGATACTTTTGAAAATATGTTCTAGATAACATTAGTTCAATAATGAGAAAATATTTACTTTAGCTTAATAACATTCTTTGTCACAAAACTTACGAACCAAAAAAAACATCAATACGTCTCGAATGGTAGTGTAAAAGCTATTATTTAACAACTATTATCTCTGGTCGTCGCCTGATTTCCCTCTCTCTAGTTTGTGAATAATACACACACCGGAAAATCTAGGGATATCATTTTATTAAAGTTAAAAATAAATGTTTTGAATAAACAACAACATATTTGTAAGCCGATTCTTTCTACTTCGATTGAAATGAAGTAGTCACACTAGTTATTTCTAAATTTGGAATATTTGCAGAAGTGTTTGTGCATCTTTTGTCAAATGTATAAAAGCACCTAGCATCAATTGTTCGAATTTAACCTGCACTGGCTATGTTTTTATGATAACTGGCCAGAATTCATTCAAATAACTCTGTTTAGTATTAAACGACATTATGGAGCGTAGACAACAGAGACGAAATGCTAAGAGCCATGGGTATGCTCGAAGCTGGAATGCGCCAAATCGACGTACTAGAGCTAAAGCATTAAATACAACGCAAAGTGTAATATCGCAATTTACCGTGATTTATCGCACGCTACCGTGAAAGTGGTGATGTTGCTGAAAGGCACACAAGACGACATCGCATTACTACCCCTCAGCAAGATCATTTTTTACAATTATTAAATGCTCGACGCCGACCGACTCTTACAGCATCAGAGCTTAGTTTAATTCTCCAGGAAACACATAATGTAACCGTTAGTCCTGACACTGTTCGCAATAGATTAAGAGAGGTCAACTTAAGAAGCAGACGCCCCTGGAGAGCTCAACCCTTAACGAGAGGAAATCGAGAGGTACGATATTTGTGGGCTCAAGATCATGTTCAGTGGTCGAATGAACAATGGCCCAATGTTCTCTTCACGGATGAGTGACGCTTTGGAACTCATCCTGATTCGAGAAGGCTTAGGGTATGAAGAGAACCGGGAAATCTTATTCGGTTGGATCATGTTCAGGAAGTGTACCCTTATCAAGGTGGAACAGTTATGGTCTGGGGAGGAGTCCAGTTAGGCCGAAAAACCGAGCTCGTTTTTCTTGAAAGGTTTCTAACAGGAATCACATATCGTGATTTAATTCTTGAGCCTGTCGTGTTATCATATGCCAATGATTTTGGGAGAAACTTCATTCTCATGCATGACAATGCACGGCCTCATACAGCCAGAGTGGTAAGTGAGTTTATCAATGCTCATCAATTAAACATCTTACCCTGGCCGGCACAATCTCCTGACCTCAACCCCATCGAGCACGTATGGGACGCGGTCCAAAGAAGAATTTTGAGAATGGGTATGTCTCGTGAAACTCGTAGGGATCTGGTTCGGGCCGCGAATGCAGCGTGGCAGGCTATACCTCAAGAAGAGATCGACAACCTGATCAGGAGCATGGAGAGACGATTTAGGGCTATAATGAACAGTAGAGGAGGCCATACCCTTTATTAAGTAAAAATGGTTTTATCTTTTTTTTTTAATTCACAGTTTGGAATAAAAAAAAAGGTGTGTATTTTTTTCAGTTCAATAAAAATCAAGGTAAATTTGAAAAATTCGGTAAATTTCGTATTTTTATTTCCAATATATACGTCCTGTAAACTATTTGTTTATTTTAATTTTATTATATCAGAAATGCAAATAATAAAATTACTGACGATGGCTGGATAAAATTGTAATATCCCTAGACTTTTCCGGTGTGTGTATTTTAAATCAATAATTTAATTTATGTATACAGAGTGCCTTAAAAATAAATGTTTTGAATTTAAAGAAATATGTCTATTTTTAAATAGGCGGTTTATGTCACAAGAGACCACAAAATGACAGGCTGGTACTGAATAGGCTGTGGTTAAAATCTTTAAGAGTCGAGTCAGTATCGATGTAACCTTCATCTCTAATTCTGTTTACTATTTCAAAGCATCTGTTGGTTTTATTCCTGATTGTAAGTGGATTTTTGTGCGAAAAGTAACTTATTTTTTTTTTAATTATTTTATCGAGGTATTTAATGGTGATTTTGATTTATTTCAGGTGACCAGCTTGGCTGGTGAAGTTCGTGACAATGACGACGGACATTAGTATAGTGAGGTGGGATCCCACCTTGCAGCAACAGATTGAGGAAGATTACGAATACGACGGTGGAAACTCCTCGTCCAGATTATTCGAAAGGTCGAGAATTAAAGCCCTTGCAGGTAATTGTCAATTTTATCACTCATACACCTATTAATATTTAACTAACTTAACTTAAACACGGTGCTATAATTGATAAAACCTCAGGTAAAACTTCCAGTGTATACGCTGGTTTTTAATCCATCTTCCCTGACAGGTGAAACATTATATGTACAGGGTGGACCATTTTGGTTGCTTCTATAGGGTATCTAGGAAACCGTGAGAAATATTCAAATTTTGATACCTACTGCAGTCTCGGGTTCTTTTTTTGAAAAAATTACAATGGCGTAAACGGATCGTGGCTATCTTGATCGGTTTCGAAGCTACAGGGGGATTCTCGAATTTTGTACTTTTTAAAGATGTTCGATAGTTTGTTTATTTCAGCAACCACGGAAAAATGAATTATACATTCTAAAGGCACTTTTCTGTGTAAAATGCAGTGGCGTAGTCAGACTTTTTTCGAAAAAAATATTTTTTGAGATATTAACTATACTTATGTTTTTTTTAAATAGAACCCCTGTATATTTTTAAATTTTCTTATTTAGCTTAGCATGGGCTTCTCGAAAATATATAACACTCTATATTTATTTTTACTATTAACCCATAGACAAACAAATAAAAAGAGACTGACAAATCCCATGTAAAGAGTGGGACCGCGTTCCCGTAGCGCAACTCAGAATAACAATTTTGAAACCAATTAGCAGGACCATGGCAGGACGTACGTCTTTATTGCTATCTTTCTTTATTATGTGTACTTTATATGAAAAAGAAAGAGATAGGTATAAAACGTATCTAAGACATTATCGCACATTCTGGCTGGCGGAAAATTTAAATTAGCCATTATTAGTAGTATTCTTTCATTCTGAAACTGAAAATTTTCACTTAAACTGATTTAATCCCTATACCACGTAAAGAGAACGTGGAATTATAAAAAAAGCAAAAATTGTACTGTTTTATAAACATATTTATTTATACATAAAAATAAATAAACTTTTTATAATATAATAACAAAAAATAACAGTGTTTATTCCACCCACCTACCAATTTTAAATGCAGAAGACTGTTGCAGGAAACGATCGGCCAATTTTTTTAAAGGGCATTAAAAATCTCATTTTCGAAAAAACTGCCCAATTGCAATAACAAAGTGAATATCCAAGCAAAGAAGACTTTACGAGAATCATGATCCTGAACCATTTTCAAGTCCAGTTTTAATCCTAAAACAAAAGTAAAATAGGTATGTTAACACAGATAATTAATAAAGTTTCTGGTTACTATAAACCAGCTATAAATTACCTGCCCAAAAAATGAAAAAAATTAATTGTATTAATTTGTTATGTTAAGAGAGGTTCGAAATATTTTTGACAGTACTACTTCTACTTTTTACTTAATAAGATGATAAATATAACTATATACTTACTTTTATTTTACCGGGGGTCTTTAACATATCTATCAAAGAAAGGGGGACCAATACATATAGAAAATAGATGATACTGGCTCCTGCAGCAAATAAAATAACAAATAGTATAACCTAAAATTATAAGTAACAAAATATAAATACCTATATGGAACAAAGGAATTTGTTCCCTATCCATATTCATAAGTCAATAAGATGGAGAGTTTAGAAAAAAAGGTAAATCACCAAAAGAAAAATTAACAAACATCACGAATTGTCATGATCATGTCATGATGTTGTCATCTTTGTTGTCATGATCGAAAGGCGATTGTTCTAATTTCTATTTAGAAATTACGTTTTATATGGCTGCTTCTTTCTCTCTTGTTATATTAGAATGAGATAGTGGGCCCAATAGACGCAATGCGCAGATCAACATAAATAGAACGAAATTTTGCGTTCTGAGTTGCGCTACGGGAACGTTGTCCCACTCTTTGCCATTTAATTTGCCAGTCTCTTTTTATTTGTTTGTCTATGTATTAACCTCAACATTTCAAATTTTGTTGTCATGGTGATCGGAACATACCTTTGATGGATGCGGGACATTTCAACAGATTGAAGTATGTGTATTTTAAATAATAAAAAAAATTTGAGAAATATAGTATGTTAGAATGTTATATTGAGTCTAACAAACATAAGCAAATGGCAGCTGATTTATATTTTGAGCGGTATCCAGAGCGCGAGCAACCAAACCCAGCCATTTTTAAAAGGTTAGAAGATAGTTTAATCAATTTTTTTTTAGAGTTGTATTGCATTTTTAGGAATTCAGATTATATTCTATATTTAGATGATTTCTATTCCATAAAATTGCAAATAATTATACTGTATGATCGAATAAAAACTGCGTCAGCGATGGCTATGAAATGAAGATCGCTGTCATTTTATATGTATGTAAAATTATATTGGAAATGTCATCGATCGTCATTTCATAGCCATCGCTGACGCCGTTTTTATTCGATCATACGGTATTTTAATTTAACTTTTTAATTAATTTTAAAATAGATCCGATGTTCTGTTTATTTGATAAGGCTTATTATCTCTTGAATTCGTTGTTTAGGCATGTTCCTAATCGGTTACGACACGTAAACAAGCAAAGTTAAGTTTGTTTACATCCAATTAAATCGTTTGTTTTGTAAACTAAACCTTGACTCTTATTAGGTACAAATAGGTATTTAGCAGCTAACGTTTTGTTTAGATAGCGAGATAAATCGGGTAATTTGAAAAGTTTTCGGTTTGGTTAAGGGTTCTACGAAAAAAAAATCTCTTAAAACCAAAAATAGAAGCAAAATAAACTAAACTTGTATTTTAATTATTTGAAAAATGTTCTTTATTTAAATTTTCTAAATGTATTTTTTTATAAATTTATTTCGTATTTTCATATTTTGAGTATTGCAGTGATATAACTCTTATCAAACTGTTTTAAGATAATGCTCTCATTATCTTTATGCTTCGTTAAATCATTCCGCTAATTAGATTTCTAAAGATTAAGTATATTTTTAGAAGGGATAATACTAATTTTATCTTTTAGGCGTGTCTAATAATAGTAATAATGGCATATACAGGGTCCGGCAATAGTGCGTCGGGCATCTGTGGCTATTAGAATAAAAAACTTTTAAAAAAATAATTTTATTCAAGTGCAAACCTAAAGTATGTATCAGGATGTATTTTAGGAAAATATTTTAACGTTAATAGGGTGGCTCAAAAAAGTATGAGTGGATCTGGATGATTTTTTTTAAAAATGGAACACCCTGTATATTATTTAATTTTTGGCTTTCTTTCAGAGCACTTTACATAATCCTAAGATATGAGTAAATACATTTCGATAGTTTCAGAGATATTAATAAATAAAAAAAATATAGGTACATCTTTTTCAGCCCTTTACTTCTTAAAAAAATTATTAAAAATACAAGAACTGTTCTGAAATCAAAAATGCATTAGGTATTTACTTTAGATGGTCGGTTCTTACTTTGCTATAAATTTGATAATTGTAAATCATACAGGATGTTCAAAATATTACGCAAAACTTTCTAAAATATAAAATAATTTTTTTTCTTTTTTTTTAAATGGAACTTATATTATTTTTTTATTAGATGGAGAGTTAAAAAATGAACATTTTTTATATTTAAAGTATTTCAATTTTTTACTGGTTTTGCAGATACACGCAGTATAATTTCATATGGCGCTTTCATTGGTAAAATACGAGAGAAAAATCATTGGTATGTGTGGCTTTGGTAAAAATTTACTGTGGAAAATGCCATATGAAATATAAAACCACGAATATCTGCGAAACCGTTAAAATTTTTGAAATACTCTGAATACAAAAAATGTTCGGTTTTTAATTCTCCATCTATTGAAACTATAATATACAGGGTGTTCCATTTTAAAAAACGAAGAAAAATTATTTTATATTTTAGAAAGTTTCGTGAAGAATTTTGAACATCTTGTATGATTTACGATTTCCATATTTATAGCAAAGTAAGAATAGACCGTCTAAAGTAAAGACCTAATATAGTTTTGATTTCAGGATGGTTCTTGTATTACTTTTTTTAAGAAAGGCTAAAAAATATATATTTTTTATTTACAAGAAAGAAATAGTGAGGGGAAATGTATAAAAAGAAGAAAAAGATTAAACGGCTTAGCCCTCAACAACTCGTAACCGTATACACCAGTGTACACCAGTGCAGACACGCTCCCTCACACACTCACACAACCACACCTACACTAGTGTACACTGATGTAACTACCTTCAGGCTTCATCAGTACGGTAAGGAATCAGGAAGCGATGAAACCGATCCCAAAACACAAAAACTGTGCAACCCAGGAGATGAAAAAAAAATTGATGAAGAAACGAAAATAAATGATGGAAAATACAAGGAGCAAACGGGAGCCTAAAGCCCCAATTTGCAGGGTTGCACACGGTGCCTCGTTGCATCATTTGCTTCCTGGTTTTTTGTGTTTTGGGATCGGTTTCATCGCTTCCTGATTCCTTACCGTACTGATGAAGCCTGAAGGCAGTTACATCAGTGTACACTAGTGTAGGTGTGGTTGTGTGAGTGTGTGAGGGTGCGTGTCTGCATTGGTGTACACTGGTGTATACGGTTACGAGTTGTTGAGGGCTAAGCCGTTTAATCTTTTTCTTCTATTTTTTATTTATTTAATAATATCTCTGAAACTATCGAAATATCTTAGGATTATATAAAATGGTTTGAAAGGAAACTAAAAATGCAATAATATACGGGGTGTTACATTAAAAAAAAAATATTCCGATCCACTCACACTTTTTTGCGCCACCCCATAAAAGTTAAAATATTTTCCTGAAATACATCCTAGTTAGGGCATTCAATCCCGAAAGAAATTTTCAATTCCGGGATTTCGGGATTATAATTTTTCGATCCCGGGATCCAGGGATTGGTCCCGGGATTCACGAAAAAAATAATTACGTTGGAATTATATTTTCTTAACAAAATTTTATTGAATAAAAAAAACATTAACATAAATTAAACGTCATTCCCATTACAAAACAACATAACATATAAGTTTATTTAACAAAAAAAAAAGGAACTAAAATATACA